GCAGGTGTGTGCCTTTTCTGGTCATTTATACAAACCCTCTTCAAGCACACCTGAGTTTATGTGAAGGAGGCACCTTTAGGGACACTCTCATGGATGAAGAGCTGGTTGCTAGGGGAACTCACTCACCGTGTGACTTGGGAGGAGAGAGGGACTGAGTTGACTGAAGCTGACTGAATCTAGACATGAATTATTCATGTCTAGGAAATAAAGACTGTACCCACCCTGAAGGGTGAGGCATGAAGAACCTCCAGGAGAGGGAAACAGGTGGAGGGGGTAACCCTCAGATGCAAGCGGGTGCTGCACCCCTTCTCGATACCTCACTTCTGTGTCTCTTCCCTCAGCTATTCTGACTTGTATCCTTTATAATGGACAAGTAAAAATAAGTAAAGTACTTCCTTTTTTGGTGGTGCTGGGAATCAAAGCCAGGGCATGACACATAATCCACTCTAGCCGGTTATGGAATCTGGGGAGCGGGTTGTGAACAACCCCAATTTATAGGCAGTGGGTCAGATGTATGGATGGGACCAGACTTGAGACTGTCATTTTAAGTGAGGACAGTCTTGTAGGACTGAGGCCTCTACTTATGAGATCCGATGATAACTCCAGGTAGATGGTGCCAGAATCGAGCTGCATTCTAGGACACCCAGTTGACATTTGGAAAACCGCTTGGTGTGAAAGAGACCTACACATCTGGTGTGTTAAATAAAAATTATAGGCAGTCATTGTCTTGTAGCAAGCACCTACATTGGGCCTCAGCAGATCAAGTTAAAAATCAAAATGGAGTCACTCATGCTAATGTTCCACATCACCAAGCTGACACTAAGATGTTTGAGACTCTGAAATTAGGATTAGAGAGCTAATAAGCAAATTTTCCATAAACGTAATCAATTGGCCTGATAATGATGGCCCCTTAGCTTTAATCCTTACTCAAAAAAGATCACCTGAAATAACTGGTGTTTACCAACTAGTTATAGTACTTTTACATTGTTCTGTCTCCCTGTCTTCACTTTACAAGGAAAAGAATTTTGAAATTACCAATCCACTTTTTTGTTTTTGTTTCTGCTTTCTTCAACCCTTTCAGTCTATAAAACCAACCTCTTCTGCTCACTGTAACACTTACTCTATTTCACAGACTAATGTATTGCCTGACTCTGGAATTGAAAAAAACTAAGATCACTATACTAAATTATTATAATTTTGTTCTTTGACAGGGTTAGTGCCAGAACAGTGTGAGAGCATAGAAAAAATAGTTCTCTTGTGTTTATTTTTTCCATTTTTTACATGGCTAACCCTGAGGTCCACAGAGTGGCAGGACATGGTCTGAGGTTGTGAAGCCTCTCTAAATACCCTGCATTAGGTGACGACAGTAATTACCCAAGAAGGAGCCAGACTTTAAGATACTCAGGCCCAGCCTGGGCCTCTGACCACTGAGCCACTGAGCTGTGGAACTCTGGAAACTAAAATACCTGGAGCTCTGAGGATCCTGACATCCAGAGCATCTTGGCTGGAGGGAATGTGGTTATGCTTGGACCCTAGCCAGAAGCTCCAAATAATCCTTTAATGATTATAGACATAGGAAGAGTTGGCAGAAGCATTGTAGCAGGTGCTGATGACACCTGCTTCCACCCTTTAGGTCTTCAAAGCACTATACTGCTCCTTCCCAGATTCCACGCATCTGCCTGGGAGCTTTCCCCGTGGCCCTCATGAAAGGTCACTCTGCTAGCAGATGGCAGAGGACCTATGGGGCTTGGTGTTGACACCTCGGCTCCCTCACCTGGTGACTCTGCATTCTCTGCCTTTTCCAGAAAGTCCCTGGGTTTACTACTCCTCACCCATCCTGTGCAGGGGTAGCTGCTTTCATAATACACGCTGTGTTGAGTCTCTTGGCTTCTCCTGTACTGGCATTTACTTGGTCTTCTCGTTCCCTCCTCACCCCACCCAAATAAAACACTTCCACTCCAATATTTGTCTCAAGACCAGCTTCTGGAGGAACCCAAAGTAAGACAAGTTAATTATGTTAATTAATTTCCAGCCTCCTTGGGCTGAAAGGTAATTAAATGCATGTTTGCATTTTCTTTATGAAAGCTTTTGAAAGCACTATGTGTGTGTCAGGCCACTTCCCATTTATGCCTTGCTGCCAAGAAACAGACCCGAGATACTCAGGACAGACAAATGTCAGCCCCCGAGGGCACAACTGCATCTGACAAAACTATTTATTGGAGGAATTCTGGCCGTCAATTCTGATCTCGGTTCATGATCAGAGGAATTCACTCATTCTGCAAATATTTTCTGAGCTCTGCCTCTCTGCGGGAGGCCCAGGCAGCACTGGCCAAACTAAAACAAGTACTGTCTGTTTCTCTGAGATGTAACTTTCAGATTACACTATTGAAAACACACTAATGAATTTGTTCAGAATTCATGTTTGAGTTACTGTGGGGCTGGTGATAGTTCTCAAAAGCGTGAGGGGGTGAATGCTAATGACCAGTTTTTTTTCACACTGTGCAAGATTTCTTTCTGGTAATTATAATCTTCCAACCCCTTCCCAAAGAAATGATTACTACAGTGTGGGGTACCCGCCAGCAAGGTTGCCAACCACTGAGCCACTGGGATTAACTTTGGGGACAGAGGTAGGAAAGAAATAATGTATTCCAATTTCAGCCAAAGGTCCTTAGACCAATAGACAGAGGAACTGTACTTGATGCTAACAAACAGCTGTATAAGCTTGGGAAGTCAATTGTCCTGTCTGAGTCTTACTTTCCATACCTCTAAAATGAGGGAATAAGGTTAGATGGTATTCAGTGTTGTTAAATATTCATGAGTCTCTTTAAAAAAGTCAAAGTAAAAAACTCAGCCCTGTGAGTTAATGCATGCCTGTAATCCTACCACTCTGGGAAGCTGAGGCAGGAAGATCACCAAGTTTGAGCCCAGCCTGGACAATTTAGTGACACAATGAGACCCAATTTTAAAATTTTTAAAATTTAAAAAGAGCTGCAGACATAGCTTAGTGCAAAGGCCATGTGTTCAGTCCTTAATACTGGGGGAAAAATAAGACAATTGAATCTATGGCTTGGCTTCACGTCCCCTTTGTGTCACTCTACCTCCCACCATCTTGGGTGGAGAGGGGACTTCATGTTGAGTTATTTAGTAGGCACTATTTGCTCTCAAAAAGTGTAGTGACCTGTCTTAAAGAATTGATGGGCTGGGGATTTAGCTCAGCGGTTCGGTGGCCTGCATTGCAAGCTCAAGGACCTGAGTTCAATCCCTGGTACCAAAAAAAAAAAAAAAAAAAAAAAAAAAAAAAAAAAAAAAAAAGAATTGATGACTACAAAGAAAAAAACAATTGAAAGGGTACAGTGGATGAAGAAATGGGAGAGTAAAAGATCTTTTATGGACTGGTGGAAGTTGGGGTCTAGAATTGGGGAGGACCCTGCAAGGATGGTTCCTGCTGGTGCTTAGGGGGCAGGGGATTGAAGGGCATGGTAGAAGAAAGCACAGAAAGAGCTCTACTGTTTCCTTTGGTAGCTTTATAACTGTCATGGTTCTCCAGCCTGGCTGTATATTAGAATCATGCAGAGAGCTTAAAAAAAGAAAAATCACAAAGTCCTCATGCTCCTCTGATATAAGCAGTCTGGAATGGAGCCTGGGCTCTGGCATTTTGGAAGATGCTCTGAGATCATTCCACTGTACAGCCAGGACTGAGAACCACTTACTGACAACCAAGACCTCAGAAGCAGCTCTGTTGCTTTTTCTCAAAGGTCTACCTTATTTTCTTCACTTCTGCACACTCTTCTTCCTCTTCTACTCCATTCATCCTCGGCTTTAAAATTCCAGAGCCATGAATGGGTGGGAAAGGGGGAAAGGAAAACTAGATTCTGCATATGGTAATTGCTTTGTTAATTATGAGGTTTAGTGAATGTTGTTTGTTCCCCCTGTGGACATAATTCATACTACAGTACTTAAGAAAAACCTGAGAAATACTTAAATACCCTACTGTACATATGAGGAGTTGGCAAACTACAGCTCCAAGGTCTAGTCTAGCTCACCTTCTGTTTCTGTAAATAAAGTTTTATAGGAATGCAGTCACACTCATTTGCTCCCTGTTATCTCTGGCTGCTTTCACACTGCAGTTTGGAGAGCTGAGTGTGCCATGAGACCATCTAGCCTCTAAACTCTAAAATATTTGCTATGTGGTCCTTCACAAAAAAAGCCTTTGGTGGGCTGGGGATTTAGTTCAGTCGCTCTGCCACCTGCCTTGCAAGCTCAAGGTCCTGAGTTCAATCTCGGTACAAAAGTGGGGGAAGCCTTTGGTGTCTGGTCCATACCATTCTGCGATCATCCCCCTACTTTTCCTTTTAGCGCAAGCATCCCTCCGTGTTACTGTAAATGCTTCATAAATGTCATTTCTAACGGCTGTTTTATGTTTTAGTGAACATAGTATAATTAGGTTGTGCCTTACTCCTTTTCCTAATTCTAAACATTTATATATCTTTGCCCCCAGGTTTTTGCTTTTATAATACCTCAGTGTATATATTTGGATGTAACCATTTGCATTTTCTCTGCCCTTTGTACTGCAGCACTGGGGGTGGGACCTGGGCCTTGTTCATGCTAGGTATGTGTTCTACCACTGAGCTACATCCCCAACCTTTGCATTTTCAATTCCTCCTTTAAGATATTGTGCAGATTATTCAACTAGTACAGAGGGGCATTTTAACTCTCTTGATACACATCACCAAGCTCTCTATTCAACGGTGCTGTACTAGTTTGTGTTCCTCATTAACATAGTCAAGAATCTTCTTTTCTACTTGCTCACCAGCAGCATCCTTTTAAACATTTTCTGCTTTCAGATAGGTAAGAACAAGGCTATTATTTTAATTTGCATTTCATCAATGTCTGACAAAATTGACCTTGTTATTAAATAGTTACATTTCCCCTTTTGCTCTTGTCTTCGCTTGGCTCCTTCTACATAGGGCAGAGTGTGGGCTGCTGGTCCTGATTCTTACCTTGGCTTGGAGCAAAGCTCCTGTCTCATCCCGGTTCTTTGCCACGTCTCTCTCCCACTGATTTCTGATCATTTCAAGGATGTCATCCAAACCAGGGCCAGTGGGAACATCCATGTGTTCCAGCTCAGACCCTGCCAGCTGTTTGTACAACACCTTCACATCCTGAAAATAACACACACCTTAGGTAGTTCCAAAAACACACAGAATTTGAGCCAGCCGAAGGCCAGCTCGGTGGGCAGTAACTGGGCCTCTCATTCAGACACTGCCGAGCAGGGCCTCACAGAGACTGGCAGAGTCCCTGATCCTCTTCCTGACATGGATACTAGATTCTTGTTTCCCAAGGATGCATTTCTTAGGTTGGTTTTCACAAGCCCCTGGCCCAAAGCAGAAATCAAAATAAATAAATAAAAACAAAAATAAGATAAGCAACAACAGCAAAACAAACTTGGGTATCAAATCAAGCTTGGCTAAAGGAGATTTAAGATAATTTTGGACCCTGAAAGGTTGCTGCTAATAGAGATAGGGAAAGGAGGAAGTGGGCTCACGGATGCTGGTTAGCTGAAGTGCAGATACAAGGAGTAACTTCTGGAAGTGTTAAGTGGGTTTTGGCTCTTTCAGTTAGAAGAAGCACATTAGACAATGGCACATGTGAAGCGGGTTAGAATCAGTGCAGTCCTGCGAGGAACTACCACGTGACCGTGAAGGAGCCTTTCAGTGATGTCCCCCAGGGACCTAACCTCACGGCACTGACGGCTGTGTGGAAGCCATCGCTTTGGTCTGCGTGCAGAGTTATTCTGTTCATCCTATACGGAGCTACAGAAAAGGTACCTAAGATAGAATGGCTTTGGGAGGGAGAGACTCCTTCCAACCCAACACAGGATTCACCACTCACTTCTGCTCAGACCTGTTGCTGCCCCCTGAGGTCCCAGCCCAGTTCCTGAAGCCAACTGAGTTGGAGACTTCTGGATCCACTGCAAGGGCTTGAAAATGTTTTGTTGGCATTTTCCCCTGCAGGTCTCAGCAAGCAGTGAAGAGAGGTTGAGAGAACCCTGTAGCCTATGTTGGGAAGGAGAGCCAGACACAGGAGCACTCACTCGTGTGGCCCACCCAGCAAGCCCCGCGCCACCCACCTCTTCATAGCTCCTTGACAGAAAGCCAAGTTCTTCTTTCAGACTTTCTATTTGACCCTCCAGATCCGTTTTTGTCCAATGAGCTTCATCAATGACTTTATATAGAGAGCTAATTTCCTCTTCCATTGCTTTTCGAAATGGCTGCTCCTTTTCATATCTGCATGATAAAGGAACTTCATCAGCATAGGTGGGTAACACAAAAGGAAAAAAAATCAGATTATAAATGTTACGAAAAGGCCAATTCAGTGGTAGGCAATGAACATTAAGTCACTGTTCCAGTAGCTTTGAGGGTACTAGTTTGTTACTACTGCAGTTGTCACAGGTTGATTTATTAATAGGAAAGTGATTATAATGAGCTTCTGATAACATGTCTTTATGGGTGCAGCCTCCTGGGGCACTGGGAACACAGTGCTCTAAGGAAGCCTTCTCCAGTTCAGATCAAGGTCAGGGGATCAAGCATCTTCATCGCTATCTTAAATTGTCCTGCTTTTCACCAGAGGACCCTTTAACAATTGTTGCTAGGGACCTTGCTAAGTGCCAGCTGCAGATCCCAAAACAGGGAATGTGTTGGAATTCCAGACTGCAAACCCAAATGCCTTCAGAGGCCACTTGGGGAATATAGGTGAGGGGCCAGGGCTACAGGGAGATGTGGGGATGAAAGCAAATGATAGAGCTCATACTTCACCTGCAGGAGTTGTGGCTGCTTAGCTCCTATTCATTACTGCTCTGTGGGAAGGGACTTGGACCAGAGGCCAGTTCTCTTCAAGGGAAATAGGAAGCCTGGACTTATATTGGAAATATCTGGAGTTTTAACAATTTACAACTTTTGAAGAGATTAAAAATGGCGGAGTAAAGTCCAGCAGCAAAGAGAAAGTGGATTTCCAGAAATTGGGAGGGAGATGACAGGAAAACTAGAAACTACAGAGGAACTGGAGAAACAGTACAATGCAGAGAAAAGAACAAAGCAATTAGAATGCCATTCCTGGCTTCCAGAGAGGGGGATCAGCTATGTTACACAAGGTAAACCTGAAAAGAGTCAGCAACCAGGAAAAATAACAGAGCAGTATGGTTGCTATAAACTGCAAAAGGTCATGGAGTTTTACTCTGAAAGTAATTCCTACATGGCAGGCTAGCATTGGAGAAGAAATCCAGTGCAGTGCCTGCCCTATTGGGGAGTATTTCATCAGGAACCATTTGGGGTGGTTGTTTAAAACTGAGCTCCAGAACTACAGAACAGCTACACTTCAGGATTTCTAGGGACACCCCCGCACAGTGACTGGGTGGAAGACTGCCACAAGAGAGAGTTGTGGAGAAGGCATAATTAAACATTGATTCCCTGAAAAGTTTAAGCTTAGAAAAGGAAGGACATGGGGTCCTCCTTTGTGTGGTGAGAAGCCAGGCTGATCATGATGGTTTTTAGAGGGCACTGGATCTAAAATTACTGGCATTAAATCCTGTGGCCTGCTTGACGTCCTCTCCCCAACCCTGCTGTGTACACCCAACACAGCTTAGTGGTCTATTTGTCTCCCCATCTGCCAATAAGATCCAAGGATACACCTCAGCCTGAAAAGTTGATGTAGTCTGGGGTGTACAGACAGAAGGGCTCCTGGAATGTGTGTGTGTGCGTGTGTGTGTGTGCGTGTGTGTGTGTGCGTGTGTGTGTGTGCGTGTGTGTGTGTGCGTGTGTGTGTGTGCGTGTGTGTGTGTGTCTGTGTGTGTGTGTGTGTGTGTGTGTGTGTACCTTACAAACCCATAGGTCACAAAGGTAGGTGGAGAAAGCTGTGATTTGGGGCCCACAGAGGGACACAGAAACAGGGAGCAGCTGGAATGAAAACAGTCCTAGGGCAGACACCACTGACTAACCCTGCCCAGCAGGAAAGGCAGGGCAAGATTCAACATTCACATTCAAAAATGTGAGTATGGAGACAAAATAGGCCTTGGTAGTGAGTCACTGTCCCTCCCCCATATCTGGTAGATTTCAATAATGCTGATCCTGGAAAGAGACCTCATTCAAAAACATGGAGGAATTTTTTTCTGACTCATTTCTTTTTTCTTCATTGTTATTTTTGGGGGGATTGGTTTTTTCCTTTTATTTCACAGTTTTTTCTTTTGCTTGTTTTTTTCTGTTACTTTTATTTAGTTCTATTAATTCTTTTTACTCCTTAATAAGATACTCTATCTCATTTTCTCTTTTCTTTAGTTTTCAAATTTACTTCTTTCATTTCCCCTTACCCACCTCTCTATTTTTACTAGTGTTACTATTAAGCTTTATTAATCTTTAGATAATTGGTTGTCTCTATGCTATTATTGTAGAATTCTTTTCTATCATGAATGGTGATATAGTTGTACTTAGTAGATATTTACTGTATGTCAATATTTGATTATTACTGAAGGTCTCTTTTCTGTAGTAAAGTACAGTGGTAGCTCTTATTGTGGTATGTCAATATTTAGTTTGTCTTTGACTCTTATTTTGGCTGGTTTCCTTGCTATTGTCAGATGGCATAGTTGTTGTTAATAATTGGTTTTTACTGTGTGCCAATATCTGGTTTGTCTTTGTCTCACCAACAATACTGCAGTTCATTTTCAGAGCATTGGGTGCTGGGCTAATCATACTGTACTCTGCCCTTCCCAAATTAATGGAAGTGGTCAGATTTTGGAACAGAGGCAAAGGCCAATAGTTAGTTATGCCTAGAGTATATCACTGGAAAGCAGATACTAATTGAAGAGAACTCCATACTAGCAAAAATCTTTCCATTATAATCAATCCTCAATTCTCATTGCACATACACCCCAATAGAAACATCGGAAAAGAAGACAACAAAATGTTTCCAAAAACTCAAAGCTGATTCATGGGGCAGCAACAGGGAGGAAATTTTTTTAAAAAAGCCAAACAGCTATTTTCTATGAAGTGATAAAAGAGGAGGAATAAGAAAACAGCTCAGTAAGGTGCTTGAAGGGCTAAAAGATGGTATAACTAAACAGATAATGGACTTACCCTCTTTCTCCAAAAATAAGACCTTGCTGGAAAACAATCAGTTTTGATAACTAGAGACTCAAAAATGACAGACCCTATCAGCCTATCTTTGCTTTACCTGCTCTCACTGTTCTCTTGTTTGGTGGCTATTCTGTAAGGCAGGTAAGGCAAGGGTATTAAGGAGTATTAAAGGTATTTAGAAAAGGGCATCACTATTATTAGGAGTAATAGGTAAAGGAAGGCTGACATTTTGATCTCTAGTTTTCAAGGCCTATTGCTTTCCACCTAGGTCTTATTTTTGGGGAAACATGGTAATCAACACAGTGATCAGTGAGCTTACAGAAGATACTAAGATAAAGCTGGCTGAGCTAAACACAATGACACAAATAAAATGAATGACCAGTTTAGCAAAGAATTAGAGTTCATGAAGAGGTACCAAACTGAAATCTAGGAGATAATTCTACTGAGAGTATGGGCAGCACAAGTGACCAATATGGGGACAGAGAGTCACAACTAGAGGATAGCTGAGGTGAGTGACCATCTACTCAGAGATATCTTAAAAAATAACAAGAGAACATGAAAAATGGATGCAACAGCTGCCGGAAGGCACAAAGAAGACTTGTCTAAGATTAACTGGAATTAGTGAAAAGTCAGAAGACAGCATGAGTGGCATAAGAACCTGTTTATAGAAATAATAGCAGAAACTTTCCAAGTATAGGGAAAGAATTTAACATACAGCTAATCAGGGCATGTATAACCATGATCAGAAAAGAGCTTCTCCATGACACATCATAGTTAAAATGCCAGAAATCCAACACAAGGACAGAAAAGCAAAAAAATCACATATAGAAGTAGGCCTATTAAAATTACACCAGATTTCTCAACACAAACATTCAAGGCCAGTGAAGTTTCAAGCCCTAAGAGAAAACAACTCCTAACCCAGATTAATATATCCTGCAAAACTAACTTTCAAACTTGTTGGAGAAATAAGGTCTTCACATGACAAAAAGTGCCTTTTTGATGATTAAACCAGCAAAAAGTTCTTAAGGGTATCCTAAAAAGAGAGAATGAAGCCAACATGCGAAAAAATTTAATGAAATGGATATACAATGTAAGCTGAGCAGTTAAGTAGAAGGGAGAAAAAGGAATCAGCAATAGAAAAATAATTCAATGACAAATAAACTAATATCTTTCAATAATAACTCTCAATGTGAATGACCTCAACTCTTAAGTCAAGATACAGATTGGCAGATTGCATCAAAAACCAAAATCCAATGGCATGCTGTACATAATAAGAAATACATTTAATTCAAAAGGAAATTCCTAGACTGATAATCAGAGGATCAAAAACAACATCCCATGAAATGGGAGCTTGAAAACAAGCAGGAGTAGTCATCTTATTTCCAGACAAAGTGAACTTCAAGCCAGAACTGATCAGAAGGAGCAGAGAAGGTCACTATGTATTGGTTAAGGAAATAATTTAACAGAAAACATATATATCACCAGCACACCCAACTTCACAACACAAACACTAGTTCTATTCTCCTGCAATAGGACACACTTTCTTCTCAGCAGCACAAGGAACTTTCTTCAAAATACCCTTCATACTAGTCTATAAAGACTGTTTAAATAAATACAAAAGAATTAAAATCATCCCATGTATATTTTTCAGATCATAACACGCTTAAACTAGATATCATTTGTAAAAGAAACCAGAGAAATTTTACTGGTTATTAAATAACACATTTCTAAACACTCAGAATAAATCAAGAAAGAAATTAAACAATTCCTAGAACCAAACAGTAATGACAATACAGCATACCAACTTTATGGGCCACAATGAAAGCAGTTCTAAAAGGGAAGTTGACAGCTCTGAGTTGTTTCAATCCCAGTCTGCAAAATCTCTAGTTTGCAACAGGATGTTCTTTCTAGGAACTCCTCAACATCTTGACCAGTTTTTACTGGTGCCATTCCTTTCCTTCCTTGGCTGTATCACTAGCCAAACTCCACACCTTAACAGCATCAATCCATAAAAGGGCGAGACCTCAAACCTCTCATTCCAGGAAGCATCTTCAGGTCTTACAAATATAAGGGACTTCAGAATTCAACATTTAACTTCTACCCTACGATCATTCCTTGATGGCATTTCTGATAGGTGATCACGTTGTGGTCTCTGCTTGCGTATTTACCGTAACCTTGTCCTTTTCAAAGCCACCATTCAATTTTTGGAATGCTCTAATAATTTAAATTTCTTCCTTCAAGAGTTTAAGTCTCCATTTCTGGAAAAGTCTGAGTTCCAGCCTCTGGAATGCCTCAGCAGCAGTCCAAGCATTCCTCTATCAATCCTATAAATATTTACAGTTCCACCCACCTCCATAAGCCTTCACTGGCCCAGGTAAACATTTTCAGTTCCTTCCTCCTTTCTGTAGGTGAGTTGTTTCCAGGTCCTCATCATCCAGGGCAGAGACTGTCATCTTGCCATCTGTGCGTTCTGAGCACCCGGCTCCGGGGTGACACGTGTGGTGTGATTAGAAATGCTTCCACCTGCCTATGTCTGTCTTAAATATGATACAGAGAACTGAACTCAAAACTCCAGATGTTGTGTGGTGAGGCTCTCTGCTCCTTTGTTTAACCCTCTAGTTCTTTGTATCATGGACCCTAAGATTGGTTTTGTGGGGTTTTTCTCATTTGCATGTTGGCTCACTTGCTTTTTACCACCTGTGTCTGGTGCTCACAGTCAGTGTCCTGTTAACCAGAACCTCTGGCGTTTCACAAGCGCTCCTTTATGCCCAATTTTCCCGTTTTCTTTAGGTGCACCCTGTGTTTGAACCAAAAGTAGAAGCTCGTATTTATCCTCTTTCAGGTTCGTTGGCCCATCGTTCCCATGTACTGTGGTCATACTGTGAGTCGTGGTTCTGTCATTCTACCCTTCACGGCTCCTCCTGGATCTGTCACCTACAATTTGGCCATAACTGCTCTCATGCACCTTGTAGTTCAAAACAGTCACATGGGGCTGGGGATGTAGCTCAGCTATAGAGCACATGCTTAGCATATGTGAGGCACTGGGTTCAAATCTCTAGCAATGGAAAAAACAAGTTAAATGAAGGAATGAAGGACAGAGCCTTGTAACATGCCAGCAGAGATAGTCCTCAGAGCTGGGCCTGAACACTCTCAGGGGTGGTTTTTGAAACACTTTTTGGTTCTCTTTATGTAGGATTAAATTTCCTTTTTTTTTTTCTTCAGTACTGAGGTTTGAACCCAGGGAGCACTGAGCTGCAGTCCCATCCCAGTCTCCCCTTTTTAAATTTTTAATTAGGAACACAATCTTGCTAAGTTACTTAGGGCTGGTCTCTAACTTGTGATCCTCCTGCCTCAGCTTCCCCAACAGCTAGGGTTATAGGTGTGCACCACCTGTCCTCACTTCAAAACGTATTCTTTAAAAGGATTCTATTTTCAGCTTTTCTTCTCTCTCCCTTTTCCCCTCCCCTCTTCTTCTCTTTTTTCCCCTCCTGTCCTCTCCCCTCCTCTCCTCTTTTCTCTACTCTCCCCTCCCTTCCCCCTTTTTTCTTTCCTTCTGCTGGGAATTGAACTCAGGACCTCGTGCAGTCTAAGCATGTGCACTCCCACTGCAGGGACACCTTCAGGCCCTTTATTACTGTTTTAGTCTTTTGGGAAACAAGTCCTGTCCCTCCAAATGAAATGAAAATCCCTCCACATTATCAAGGTTTGTCTTTGTTGACCAAACTAGAAAAGTCCCCCACGGGCTGGTAGTTTTATCCTACTCACCTCCCTGGGGATCCTGGTCCCTTTCAGTTTTGCTCCCTTCTGCATTACAGGAGGTCTTAGGTCCCCTATGGGCTGTTTTGCAGAAGTCCTTTTAGGTTTTAGAATATGCTGCGACATACCCAAGACCGTGTTCAGTTTATTCCCTCTGGTACTCCGGACTGAACCCAAGGCCTCATGCTTACTAGACAAATGCTCCACCACTGAGGTACACCTTCAGCCATCCAGTAATACCATCCAGGTACTACTTTAAATTTGGTGCACATGGATGAGTGCTTTTGGTTGTTTGTTTTTATTGGTGTTTTGGTACTGGGGGTTGAACAAAGGGCCTTTGCACTGAGCTATATCCCAGAACTTTTTTATTTTGAGACATTGCCTCTCTCCTACCTAACCCTCCCAGAGTGCTGGCAGTCACGTGACACCACACTTGGCTAGTGCGTGTGATTCTATGTCCATTAGCACCTGCCCTTTTAAAATATCGTATGTAATTTTATTGACCAGACTGTTGGACTCAGCCTTGACATGTGAAGAGCTTAGAAGTTGTCATCCTTTTCTCTTTTCTCTTGTGGACCCTGAGGATTGGACCCAGGACTCGCGTGCCAAGTGCTCTCTCAACTGCTGTGCTTCTGCAGGCCGATGTCTGTCTTCCCCTGCTGCTGGAGGCTGCGGTGATGGCTTCGCTCCGTGGTAGTCCTGGGGATGTGGCCACCGTGTCAAGATGTGGGTGAGAGTCTTCTGGATTCCTGTATGGCTTCTACTGGAGATCCATTCTCTGGTGGAGACACTTAGTTTCTCAAGCTTAGCCTAAGTTGTCTTTACCCTTACACATGATGGTCGCCCATGGAGACTCCCAACCATATGCATCTCCTCTTTTGTCTTTACCAGTTTAGGGAGATCTTCCCTGGAGTACTAATCCCCTTGCCCTCTGTGTGTCTGACTCTCAGGATACCCTTGCCCTCAGAATAATCTCAGAGTTCCTGTGCTCACCTAACAAAGCGGTCTTCATTTCGCTTTTCCATTAGATCAGTGTTTCCCGACTTCTCTCATCCTTATGATTTTGCCCACAGTGAATATCCCTAGAACCACTACTCACTTTATATTTTCCTTAAGTATCTGAGGTAAATCTAAAATAAAATTCAAGAGCTCTTTATTATATAAGATACATTTTGTATTGCTACTAAAAATGGTGCTACTAGAGTAGAAAGCCAGCCTCATGGGTCATAAATAGAAAGTAACTATAGATACATAAGTGTTAAAAATAAAATGTTTATCATTATATCACTTAAAGTGACCGGCATCTGCCATGTGTACACTGCACATTAGGCATCTTTTTTTTTTTTTTTTTTTTTTTTTTTTTTTTTTTTTTTTTTTTTTTTTTTTTTTTTTTTTTTTTTTTTTTTTTTTTTTTTTTGGTACTGGGGCTCAAACTCAGGACCTTGTGCTCACAAGGCAGGCAGTGAAACCACTGAGCTAAATTCCCAGCCCTATATACTGCACATTAGGGAACACCGTGTTGGCCTTTAGTGCAGGGGTTTTCAAGCCTGTACACCAAGATCTTCTGGGGAGCTTAATTCCACAGTGGGGGCCCCAGGCCCAGGACAGATTCCAATGCCCTGTGAGACTGGGCTCTGGTATTCTTAAGTGCCCACATAATCCCACTATGCAGCTAGAGTTGAGCACCATTACTCTAAACAAGTACTGTGTTCCCGAAGTGCAGCCCGAGGAGCAGCAGGACTGATGTCCCGGGAACTTGTTGGAGATGTAAATGATGGGCACAGCTCTGGACCCACAGAATCAGAGACCCAGGGTGGGGACCGGCAGCGTGCGTTTTCTGTAAGACCTCCCGTGTGACCGTAATGTATGCCGCAGTTCAAGAACTTTGCTCTGAACTATGTGACCCTGGGCAACAACTCTGAGCCTGGGGGCCTAGTTTTTGTGGCTCTGGATCCTTTTGGGGGCCTCTGTTCTCCCAGCCCACCTTTCATTAGGGTGGAGGTGAATGATGCAGACTGTGGGATGTGTTGTGGGCCTTGCCAAGGAGTCTGGGGGTGCGAGGGGCTGTCCCTGCGACTGAAGAGCATACCTCTCTTTAAAGTCTTCTGCTCCCACCTGGATGGACTCTGTCTGCAGCATGAGCCGAGCATTTTCCAACACAGCCTCGCCCACCTGGAATGACACCAAGGAGACACGTCACTCGCTCGCCACTGTGACTTGTGCCAGATACAGACACAGTGGAGCTGAAGGCATCTTTTACACACAAGTATTCTTAGAATTAATCTCCCTCTCAGAAAAGGAGGTGGTGGCAGTGGGGAGGAAATTAACAGGTATAAGATCTGAAGATCTTTTAAAAGTTTTTAAGAGTTTTGGAAGAAAATTGTTATTCAGAGACAGACTTGTCTATAGCCTCTGCCACAGCTATGAGCTCTGGAGAATCCAGGAAAGATTTGTGAGTCCTGAAATGAAGTTTCGTTGGCCTTTGCATAGCGGACTGGAACATATTCTGGTCACGGATGCCTGTGAAACTGTCCAAGCCTGGACTACTGGTGTCTGACAGAACTTCCTGTGACTACGGAAATGGCCTTTGTCTATGCTGCCATCCAACACAGGCCATGCATGGCTGCTGAGCATGTGAGATGGGGCACAGAGGATGAAGGAACTGCAGATTTGATTTCATTTAATTGCCACTAATTTACATTTCAATGTCTAGCACTTACCATATGGGACAGTGTGGCTCTAGAATTTCATCTACCCTTCAATGTCCATGTAAATATAAACACAGTACATATAATTTAGGGATTTCATGGAGCCTTAAAGAGTGGGTTTTCAAACTTGGCTCCCCAAGCCTCTTAAGGTCCCCCACAAGTGGGGATTGGTAGGGATTCTCTTTTCATCGCACATACACATGAAATTTTCAAATTTAAAAAAAATTATTTATTTTTATCTTTGGTGGTATTGGACATCAAACCCAGAGGCCTCACACTAAGCAAGCACTATACCACTGAGCGCTATCCCCAGCCCTTTTTAAAACTTCTGATTTGGAGGTAGGATTGCTGTGGTTAAGTTGACCGGGCTGGCCTCAAACTTACAATTCCCCTGCCTCAGTCTCCTGGGTCATCTCCCACCATCACTACAGCATCATGAATCATCGGAGAAATGCAAGTTAAACCACAATGACACGGAGTCTCACACAGATAGGATGGCTCTTATTAAAAAAAAAAGAAAGATAACAAGTGCTGAGGATGTGGATAAAAGCGAACCCCTGTACACTGTTGGTGAGCATGTAAATTAGTTACAGCCACATGGGAAATAATATGAAAGCTCCTCAAAAAACTAAGAATATAACTACCATCCGATCCAGCAATCCCACTCTTGCGTATATAACTACAGTAGCATGTTCTCTATCAACTAGAAGGAGGTCTACATGCGCCAAAGACGAAAGACAGGAATGACATGGGAGAGGCAGACACCCTACCTTGCCTGCTCCCCATTGTGCCACTGGGCCAGGCTGGAGCAAAGATTAATTTTGCTAATGGGAAGTTCAATGAAATGAAACAAAATTAGGATGACCACTTTGGAACAAGGGGAAAGGTAATTGCTGCTTTTCCCATAAGGAAGTGGGATTTAGCTCCACTGCTGGGCTTCTTGGCTTTCCCCCATCAGAGCCTTTTTCCCACTGTTGTGAGACATCCTCACTCCTACTCCACCTCCCACCCACCCTACCCCTGCCAAGGGGCAGCAGATCTTCTATTGCTGTGTCCCTGAGGTGGGGCTGGCCTTAAGCATTCTTTAAATACCTGTTGAGAGAGTGCATGAAGAAATGAAAGACTTGACCATGACTAGTTCCCAGCCTTCCCCTGGCCCAGATCAGGTGGTTATTTCCCAGAAACCATCAAGAACGGACTTTAAAAATAGATCCATGACCTTTTTTGTATTCAGACATGGTGAGGCCAACAGATCAGGGGTAACTGCCATTGAGAAGATATAATAAGGCCCCAACTGACGAATGAGTTCCCTTCTGGGAGAATGTTCGGAAGCAGATATGTTTGTGAGTCCTACGAAGTGAATCTTATGGGAACCCTGTGAAGGTTTGCAACTCGGGACTTAACTGTACTTCACATTTTCCTAGAAGTGGGGTGCATTACACCACATTGTTCAGAGGGGGCAGCACCAGGCTGGTCAGGAGGCCAAAGGAGGGAGCAGAACAGGCGCACAGAAGCCTTGACTGTGTATTTTGTGCGAAGTAATGCTTGAAGCAGGGTAAGTTCCTAAGGAGGTAAGAAGCCTAAGAAGCCTCTGAGCTGTAGAAGTGATCGCTAGTTCTCTGCTGCCTGGCTTGGCCGTGATGAAGGCAGAGGAGTGTTGCTCAGAAGAGGAGGTGGGGTGGGCGCAGGGCCTCGGGGTTGGTTATTTTGTGTATTAAAGATGCACACACAGGCAGGTGGTTTGCCTTCTTTAGGAATTAGCTAAATTCCTAATTCTGGGAACTAATTCTGAGGTTCCAGATACCAGAACATCGAGAACACAACATAGCAGTAGATATAATTGGTAGAATTGAATACAATTACTGTGAAGGGCTCGGGTCACACGTATCCTTCCTTCCTGTGGACCAGCCGAGTCTCCTCTGCATCCTGTTTTACAGAGCTGCTCCAGCCACTGTCAGAAGCTCCCTCTGCCACAGTCTTTCAGCAGTGTCACTTTGTCCACAGTGACACTCTTGGCAACTACTCCACCCAAGCACTGGTTCCTCTGTCATAGCCAATGTCCAGATTGGAGGCTCAAAAACCACACTGTGCAGAAAATTGTTTCAAAGCAATAGAGCAGGAGTCATGAAAGGCAGGTGCAGGCAGATGTGAGACCTTAGTTTAATGCAATCCGGAGGACACCGCCACCCTCCATCTGGGATCAGACTCAGGCCTTGCATTTGCAAGGCAGGCACAGCGCCGCTGAGCTAAATCCCTGGCCCTTCAGAGACCCTTTTTAAGAAAAATAAATAAAGACCAAAGTCAAATTAGTCACTGGGCCTTGGACAGGGTATGTGCAGGTGAGGGACCCTGCAGCCTTATCTACTTTGATATAGATTAGTTTTATTTACTTATTTCTACTTTTTAAACTTAGGACCCAAGCAGTAGACAGAAAAAAAAAAAAACAAAAAAACAAAAACAAAAAAAACCCAAAAAAACTGAACCTAGCCCACTCTGGGATGTATGTAGGATGCAGTTCTGGAAAGGCAGAATGGATAGGCAGCCATGAAGGCTCTGCTGTGCAGGGTCAACGTGACACCACTGGGATCTACTTCCTTCGGGGCTGTGTTCCCAGGAAGCTCGGCATTACTTTGCCCAGCTGCAAGGGCATGGAGTGTGTCATTTCGTAGCATTTTCTCAGCTGACTGAAAATGCTTAATAAATAAGAGGATGCCTTGAGCAATCTGTGACGGAGCTGGGTGGGAAATGCAGTGCCCAAAGGTGAGGTGAGGTGAGGGCCCTGCTTCACAGGTCCTAGCTCCTCCTTGACTTCTGAGTGCTCCTCTGGCAGGAGACAGGAGTGCCTTTTGGGGTAATCTGGATGCTGTTCATATATATGGTGGCTCTCTTCAAATATCTGTCCTCAGAGGCTTGTGCAACCCCTGGCTGGGGGAAGCTGGAGGTTGTCCTGCTTTTGCTGTTGTTTAGTAACAAGCAGGGGTTTATTCCACCGTCAAGCGGGGACTAATTATAGGCCCTGACTTGCCAAAGTACAGCTTGCTGGCCCTGCTTTCCCATTGCCTTCCCAGAGGGGATCTGAAAATAAACCAACAGCCCCCACTGCTCAGCCTGGGAGAGCTGCACTGTGCCCTTGTTGTCCCTGGCCAGGCAGGGGCAACCCTTGCTCTGGGATCTGTGGTCCTTTCAGCTTCCCTAGTCGGGAGAAGGCTAGGCAAGTGGCCTGCGGAGGGCTCAGTTCTTCAAGGAGGTATAGCACAGACGGGGGACTGGGATGGTGGCTCAGGGCACGCAGGTCAGAAGTAAAGCATGGAGCCTGCAGAGGACAGAGAACATCTTTGTCTCTGCCTGGGAAAACTTTCATGAAGTCTTCCCCTGGACAGGGAAAGGAAAAGAAGTGGGCAGGGAAGTCATCTTTATCGACCACCTACTGATGGGCAACATGCTTAGTCTGGCTTGTTAGTGGCTTGAGAGAGTGGATTGTGAGCTAGTCATTAAGCACAGCCACCATGGAAAATTACCTGGTGTGATTTTACAATTAAATAAATTATTTTAAAAACAAAGCTAAAAATACTCAAAACACAAAGGTGATAAATGCTCATAACCTAGAACTGTTTTGGTATGTTCTCTCCGCTTTTGACATCATCTGCATCTGTCTGGTGGAAATGCTATATAATAACATGCTTTGCACATCTCTCCTCACCCTGCGTTCAGTGACATGTCAGTAGCTTGATGTCAGCCATGGCGAGAGTATTCACACCAGGGAAATTGGCAAACGCTTAAGCCAGAGACTTTTATTCATAGAGAAGAGTTGACGAGCAGACACCAACTCACCATGCACCATATTGAACTAGAGACCTGCACTTGACATTCACGACGTTACACGGTGCTCGTTGCACCCCTCTCAAGCTGCTGTCACCACCTCCACTTGACCTTCATGAACATCGAGGCTCAGCGAGCTTAAGTAAACTGTCCAAATCTCATAGCTGGCAAGTGGCAGAACCAGAATGTTAACCTAGGTAAATGTGGCTCAGAAGCGTGAGCGATTTTGTCCTTAGCTTTGAGAGCCGAAAAGGCACATCAGAATCAAGAGAGAGGCTCTCTGGGGATTGTTTTCTGTTTCTCTGCAGTACAGAACAGTCAAGTTTTCGGCTTCCTATTCGGGCTGCGTGTGGAGGATAGAGATGTGTTCAGGACTGATGCTCTCCAGAGGCCTGTCTCCAGGCCTGCTCACCCCAGCGCACAGCACCCCTTGCTCTGGCACGAGCTCCATTCCATCACCTCACACCCCTGCCCTTGCTGCTGAGAAATCTTACTTTCATGCTTATCTCAAATGTGGATTCCTCTGTAAAGCTTCGCTCTCCTTCCACTCTTGCCCTCGTTTCTTCTGCCTGCAGTCATTGCTTACTTCATGGCAGGCTCCATGCTGGTTGGATGATTAGCAGCTTTTGGAAGAGATGAAGTTTG